AAGCAAAACATAATTTTTGGAAATACAATTCAAACATTGCTTTCAAAAAAGTTGTGTGTGTGTGTGTGTATGCATCTATGCATTTGCTTAATGTTTGCACAGTTGCTACTTGTATTTTTATGAAAGTTTATATATCCAGAGGTCATTTATGTTGCTAGTATTTTCTGTTCTAGGAGTGCAGTAAATATTTATTTTTTATTTATTTATTTTTTGTCCTTTTTGAGACCGGCCACACCGCGCTCAGCCAGTGAGCGCACCGGTCATCCCTATATAGGATCCGAACCCGCGGCGGGAGCGCTGCTGCGCTCCCAGTGCCGCACTCTCCCGAGTGCGCCACGGGCTCAGCCCAACATTTAACAACTCTGTATGTTAGTAAAAAGAAATCGTAACATTTAAGTGCTTAAGGTACATTCAACTTACTCAAATCTAAGTTTTTCAAAGAGGCATTCCCTCTCTATTCTACTCTTTACCTCTTACTATTCTTAGTTTTTAAATTTGTTCTAAGTTCCATGAAGCAGGAACTTAGTTTTGTTCACTGCTATATGTCCAATACATATAAGAATATTTGGCATATATTAGCATATTAGGGGCTCAAAATAATGTATTTAATATCTCTTAATAGGCTTCTTTAGTTTAGTAACTCTCTCCGTATATTAATATAAAAATCTTAGGTTAAAAACCAAACAAAATGAGATCTACTCATGTACTTTCTGAAAGCGGAATTATTTAAGCCCTGTTCTTCTAAAACCCCACTACATAAATTAACAAAATCTTATACCCATAATTGGTGAGAAATGTGCTAACAAATCCCTAATGCTGAGCTAAGAACTCATCAACTTAACATACGTTTTTCTCAATGTTCTGACTCAGATAAAATTTTATGATATTTCACTTTTTTAAAAAATTTGTGGAGGATGAGCAAAGAGGGGGAGGGTTGTATATAGTTATCTGGAATTTTATTTGTGTGTACACATATACAGATTGTAACAAGAATCCCAGAAATAGAAGGCCTTCAATAAAATAAGTAACTTAGTAAAGTCCTCCAGCCTTAATTACACTTAAAACATAAAAGTACAATTTTTGTAGGTAACTATTATTGTATATTCCCCATATAATTTAGGATTATATATAAATGTATTACATATATTAATAAATTAAATATATTAAGTAAATTAATATAAGTATTTAAACATCCATAGAGATGAACATTCCAGAACTTAATTTCAACTTGTCTGGATATTATATCACAATTGCCTCTGAGAAAAACTATTTTTACCTAGGCTGTTCTCTGTGAAAACATGGGATATTTACTTAGATTTATTCCTCTGAACACACTTCAAATATTTGTAGATTGCTATTAAATCCAAACACAACATTAAACGGTTTGGACAATTTTCTGAATTTAATCAAAACAGTTTAAGAATATATTGTGGTAAAATATGCTTAGATATTTGAATGAACTCACGGTTTGGCCAGTTCGGACAGTTATTTTTTAAGTATTAACTCAAGTTTTCCATTAAAATAAATTAAGCTTTTTAAAAATGAATTATTTGAAGATCTCACTTTTTATATCTTTATATAATTTATATCAGTCATCATTGTGTCTAGCTTATTGTGCCCATATGGTTTTTTAAGATATAACTGTCCAATAATTGAACTATAGCTGACTAAAAATTTTTTTAAAATATTTTCTATATCAAATGAGTATTAACATATTTCTACATCTTTTAAATAATAGTGTGGATATGTGATTCATCGTGAGTTTTTCAACATTAGCTGTTCCCAGGAAATCACACAATTGAGTCATTCAAGATGACTTGCAAATGCCCCCAGTGAAACTCACACACTATGATTTGTCCAGGAATTTTGGATGGTATTTCTGTTTATGTCATCTTACTGATGACATACCCTGTGGTCTCATAAAAATAAAACAGGAAATTGTTTATTTCACTAATATTATTTCATAGTCTATTCGTAAAATCTCAGAATTTAAGCAATAATAACCAGAGTAAATATGACATTTTACGTAGTCTTTATGTTAAGCAATTCGAATCCTCCTTTTTAAAATGTTAAATTGTTCCTCAGCTTAAGGCTTAACTACTCAAGTAATTAGTGTGCTAAGTAATTTCACAAAAAGAAAAACCACTGGCCACACTATTTTAAAAGTCTGCTTAATTAAGACTTTGCTCTTTTTATTTCAATACATGGCTCTGTCTGTACTAAAGCAATTCTTTCCTTAATAATCCCAGATCTGTTATAAAATATAGTGTTTAATTCTGATAGCTGAAAGTCAAGATTTAAAAAAAAAATTAGAGTGTTTACATTAGTGTTTTGAATAAATAAGTATTATATTTACCCATTTTACAATCAATGGAATATAAAACAAAGTAATAAATGCAACATTATACATTATAAGCAGCATCTAAGATGCTCAAAATTTTTTAAGAATATGCTTATTGTATACCTTTAAAACGGTAGATGATTCTACATACAAACTATATACAAACATATACACATATGTACAAACCTATATGTAAAATTATTTAAGCCTCTGAAATGCACAGATTTAATATTAAATGTTTAAATATTTTCTAGGGAGCAAAAATGTCTATAATATATATTTATTTGTGGTTTCTTTGAGACAGACATTTCAAAAGTGTACATGAGTGAGAAACCAGTTACTTAACTGCCAAATGAACCATCAGATAATTACCAGCCCTGGCATCTCAACATGGGTTTTGGGTCTTATTTGAAGTAATTCAGAAAAAATAAAATCAAATTTAGTAAATATGTTGTTAATATCATGACATAGTAATGTAATATAGCCCATTATAGGTGGCAAACTTTATTTGCATTATTTATAATTTTATTGTATATTTAAAAAATCATTATGTATCTAAAAGAGCAACTTCTATTTACATAGAAGTGTGTCCTGGACCATATCTGTAAACTTGAAGATTTTCTAAAATCTCAAGACATACTTTTGTTATACAAGGATGACAGTGCTGCCACTAACTATTCTGATTCTTATTACATCCATTTAAAATGTCCAAATGTTTAGAACATAGCTTACAGTTAATCATATAAAAGTTAAATTTTTCAAGATCATTTTTCACGTGATATACTTCCAAGTAAATATTTCTTCTATCTCCAATAACTGAACATCCTAATTATAGACAGCAGCATATATTTCTGGAATCCATAATAAATAATTTTTAAAGGGTCAAAGCATCATACAGGCTATTGGCTATTTTT